GTCACCAAACCTGCCTTTCTGCAGGCTGTCATTGATGATGGAAACGTGAATTTTCTGAGCTCCCCTGACTGATGCAACATCAGATCAATGTAATCAGTGCCTGTGAGGTCTTGTACACACCTCGGGTATTGTACACAGCCCCCTTGTTTGCATGGGGTTTTGTAGGCTGGGCACGGGGCTTGTGCAGTCCGGGGGGGGGCCCAGGCTGTGAGCAGAGGTGCTGGAGGTGGCTGGCTGTGGCTGTCCTGTGTGTGTGAGGGGACAACAGGCCTGAGGGATCAGCAGAGTTGTTGGCAGGGGACCAGCGTTGCCCAAACTGCTTTGCTGGCCTCCCCCACCGTGCCAGTGTACAGCTGTCCCCACAGTCCACGGTGTGAGCTGAGCCGCCCCCTGTGTCAGAGGGACAAGGAACGCAGGGGGAGCAGAGCTGTGAGTGTAAGCTGCAGTGCAGGCTGGGTGATGGTGAGGCCTGTGACTGTGCTGTCTGTTTCAGGAATTTCAATTTTGCCGGCCCGGGAGGCGTGCCAGGGGCTCAGTAGCCTGAGCACTGCACCCTGCAGCGTTTGCAGTCAGGGTGCTCACCTCAAAGGAGGACACATACTCTTCCTCTCTGACAAGAGGCACCAGCTCCACCTTCTCCTGTGCTGGGTGAAGCCTCTCTGAATTCCCAGCAGTGGTGTGGCTGAGTAAGGATCAGCCTTACTGCCAGAAACATGGGTGCAGTCGTGCCGTGTCACTCCCTACTGCTGCTCTCGTGTCGCACCGGCTCTGCCAGCGTTCAAGCTGCATGTTACAGCTCGTTGCTGCTGCTGCAATGCTGTGCAGAGCTGCTGAACAGGCCTGGTCTTGGGGAATGATTCCTCATCATGTGAGCGCTGCTGGTGCAGGGGGGCAGAAGGCAGGTGAGACCCTTGTATGGAAGCATCGCACCCTCGGGTTCAGGCTCCAGAGAGGGTCATGAGTCCTGTCTACCCTTCCCAATCTTGAGGACACTGTCTGCCCCCATTTGTTGTTGTCACACAGTGCCTCAGCTCCGTACTAGTGCTGAAAACAGCTGAACTGTCTCAACAAATGAGCGCTACCCTGGGATGGCAACATGGCTTTTTGTGCCAGGTGAAGTATAAGATGCTGTCTCTTGTATGCCTGACTCTACCTGAGTGTCCCCTTGCAGAGCTTGGGGGAGACAGGTGAGAGCAGCACGATGGTTCCTGTCCAAAGACATGTCATTTTGTGCATGAAATTGTTATAAAATGGGGAATGAGGTAAAAACAGGGACAACTGTGAGCATCTTTGTCATGAATCTGTCACTATTGATGTTGCTGGCCAGGAATGCCCAACTCACAGGTGTTGATGAGCTGGACAGCAGGTGCAGACTGGAAAAGGCAGAAGCATAGACTTTGGGGAAGTTGCCCTAGGTTTAGTTTAGGCTTTGTAAGGGTTCACAACTGCAAGCCCCTGGATGACTCCTGCAGAGGTGCCTTGTGCTCCTTTGTCCTCACAGATGCACCTGCCAGTGTGGACAGCCAGATGGAACATGGTGGTGGTGACAACCTCGAGCTGTTTGGCCAGCCACAGTGACACCAGGGAGGAGGTGAAGGGTCGATGCCCAACAAGAAACCCAGGGCCATGAGCTATAGCAGTGCTTCAGGCTGCATCCTCCAGCCTCCTGCTCTGACGGTGCAGGTCACAAAAGGACACATTTTTCACCAGAGACCGAAACCACATTTTATTTTTGCCACTTCCACACACTCAGGAGGCTGTGCCTGGTCTGTGGTCACACTGGGCCGATCCCCCCATCCCTTCTGACTGAGCCTGGACACCTTACCAAGGCACATCCCAGGCCCAGGAGCTGACCCCAGCCCAGAAGCCTCATACGCTGTTGCTTCCAGTTCTGCAGGCTGCCAAAAGCAGGGAGAATTGATCAACAAGAGGAAAGCCTGGGCTGTTAGATGGTTATGCTTTTAGACAGTTATGCTTTGCCTTGCAAGCCAAGGGTGTCTCAATTTGCCAAGAAATGGGTGGGCTCTACTGAGCCCCTGTGAGGGGCCAGGAGCTGGGTTTCCTGGGTGAATGGCATGCACAGAGCCCACAGGAATCACTGGGAGCCTTCCTGTTCAGGCCAGTGGGCTCAGAAACAGGCTTCCATAACCAGCCCCTCTGCATCACCTTGTCCTTCAGCCCTTAAATTTCCCTTATTCCTTTGCAAGCAAGCTTGGATCACAGCGTCTGCCTGCTTCCAGCCCTGGGCATGTTCCTGGCTTACAACAGCAGGGAAGGAGCTTGAGACAAGGCACTCACATGCTGCCTCCAGCGCGGTGGGCGCTGGCCGATAGGCTTTCCTGAGCTGTGCAGGTTTTTCTTTGTTTCACAAAGCTGCAGAACTTATTAAGCTGCTGAAGTCTAGCACAAGCTGAACTCTAAGGAGCCTGTAGTCACACCCACTCCTTTTCCCGGAGAAGTGATGCTGCCTTGCATCTCTCCAGCATGAGCAGAAGGGGCTCGCCTGCTTTCCACCAGCTCACTCGTGCTCAAAGAACTCGTGGCAAGCGGCAGTGACCATGGCAATGAAGGCTACAAACTCCTGGAAGTCGCACTCAGCGTCCCCATCGCTGTCCAGTGCCTCCGTGACTTTGTCCACAGTCTCTTGGTCTTTGATTTCCTGAAGGGATAGAAATAGGCAGCCAAAGCTGGGGAGGACCAGAGTGGGACCCAGACAGTAACATGTCCCTCCTTCTCCGGTGTTCTCGTGGCTGAAACTCTGTTCAGACACATCGTTTCCAGCCTGTGTTGAGGCACTGCCCTGTGCCTCTGAATTGCAGCCACAGCTGTGCTGCTGGGAAGAGACCTCTTGAGCCCCTTGGGGCGAGGCTGTCTCCCCATCTCAGGGAAGGAAATTTCCCTAGTATCCAACCCACACCCCAGCCTGCCATGCAGGCTGTTGCACTTGTCCTGCTGCTCTGCAGAGCTGGAGCAAACGATTTAGCACCCTGATGTGTGGATAAACCACTTCCCCTGCTCTTGCTTCCCATGGGAGATAGAGTTAGTGGAGTGCGGAGGCTGCTTAATGCCACCTGAGCCCAGCCAGGCGAGCTGTGAGGAGGACAATACTTACACTGAGGAAATGGGTCAGCTCATTGTTAATGAGCTCCTTCAGTTCTGATTTCTTCAGCTTGTGCTTGTCTCCCTCCTTGCCGGAGTACTGGTGGAAGGCATCGATGATGGCGATCATGCCCTTCTCCAGCTCAGACATGGTAACGGCGTGGCCCTGAGGTCGGAGGGGGCGATCAGGACATTAACCTGGGCAAGCTCCAGCAATTCCTTTTGCTTTGGAAGCACAGCCACCTCGATCAGCAAAACCGGACCCCGTGCTTAAAGCATTCTGCTGGGAAGGACTGACAGAAGCTCTGGCTTCAGGGGAAAAGCTTATGAGAGACTGTGACTCTGCTTTCAGGGGCTCTCAAGAAACGCAGAGCCACAACCCGAGGAGAGGGGCAGGTAAGGGTTCATTTTGCTCACAGAGCTTCAGAACAGTTTTGCTGTCCCCTCTGTCACAGGCAGCCTCGCCTATGCCTTTGCCTGCAGGCCTGTCTCCAGCCGAGCAGTCAGGGGAACCAGGCAGGAGCCAGTTTTGATGAGTGCCAGTAGGACGAAATAAGCACCTCTCTAACCTCCCTTCTCCCTCACTTGATCTGGGGACCCTCCTGGGACTGATAATCATTGGGATTGCAGCGTTTCCTGCAGATTTCACAAACAGACAGACAAACCAAAAAGGGAGAGATGCAAAACCACCTTCCCAAAAGCTGGGAAAAAAACTAATGGCACTCTGTTCGTTCATACCCCACAGGTAAAATGTCTCCTGCCCCGTGACCTGGCTCCTGTTTCTCCACCACAAGGCACTGAATCTCATCCCACCGCCTTATTCTCCAGCTGACTTCCTCCCCCACGCAGCAGGCAGTGTCCAAACAGAAGGACTGTTTCCGATCAGGTAGGAAATATTCCCGAAGCACTTCATGCGTGCATTCTAAGAGCCCTTTGCATGCTCACGACCTGCCTCCTTCCCCGTCCGCAAGGCTGAGGAGTGTTTCAGCTCCTCACCGGCTCCGCAGCGCTCGGTGCCCCGGCGCTGCCCCCGCCCGGCATCCCCCGGCCTCTCTCACCTCCCTGCTGCCGGCGGGGCTGTGGCTCAGCGATGGGCGCCCCAGGGCCTCGCTGCCTTCTTATGCCGGAGGCGGGGAGCCCCTGGAGCCAATGGCAGGCGAAGGCGGGGGTGTCCGGGCCGGGCTCCGGGCCCGCAGTGCTGCCCGCAGTGGCGCTGACCCGCCGCCAGCCCACGGCCGCCCACGTGGGAGCCGCTGTGGCCCTTTGTCCCTTCACTGTGCACCCCTGAGACTCGCCTGACCGCGTCTTCTCTGCCCCCTCCCCGTGCCTTTGCGGGGCAATCACGATTGTATCGGGCTCTCAGTGCTTGATGGACAGCAGCCGCCCCTCCCGGATCCCTGCTGGGGAAAGAGTGCCGGCTCCGGGGTGTGCCTGCCATACCCCGGCGAAAAGCTGCTTGGAGGGGCCGTGGGTTCTCATACGGCTGTCACTCGTCCAGTCACTGTGACACCACCCTTGTGACTGGGGGGGCAGGAATCTCCTGCCTGCGTGTACCTGCTGTCCGTGTCGCAGCCACGCGGGGGGCTCCCAGGTCCCCTGCCAGCCCCAGCAGCCACCGTTAACCGGCATTATATATGTGCACTTTTGTCTAAACTCAAGAGCTGGAAGTTTCCTTTCCACCAGAGATCCCCCTTCATGCTTGTGCACAGACCCGATGGAGGGGACGCTGTGTGGGGACTGGCAGGCAGGCCAGCAGGGAAGGAGGATGTGGAGGGCAGTAAGTGAGAAACAGCAAGAGCAGCAGGTGACAAACAGCAAGAGCAGCAAGCAGCATCTTTCACCTAGACTGTTCCCGGTGGCACAGGACAAAGCAAATGGTTAATAAACACAGAGAACATGCTGAAGAAAGCAAGTTTCACTGTATTTCATTGCGAAGTCACGCTGTTTCCCAGGAATAAGATGGTATGAGCCAAAGTTGAAGCTGTCTGATGTTACTGTTGTGGCATGTTGCCATTTACACCTTTTTCAGTTCAGCACTCGATCTGGGACTCAATCAGTAACTGCTTTATGTCGGAGGCCTTTGTTGGATTTCAGGCTCAGCGTGACTCAGAATGTGGCACTCCTGCTAACTAAGAAGACGGGTGAACAGTGCCCATGATGAAGAGCCCATTTTGTTGCCACACTCAGCTCCTGCAGAGAAATGTGGAAAGGGTAAGAGCCTTATACATATGCTTGGGGGGTGGGATGAAGGTCTGGACCTCTTAAAAAAAAAAAAAAGTCCCTTTGAAGAGGCAAGACCAGGTTGCTGGACAGACACATTTCCTGGCAGTTCCTGCGTTCCCCAAATCTACTGAGACACCACCTACCATGTTACTTAAAAACTTTTTCATATACTGGTGTGAAAGAAACCCATCTACATTGATCATTTCTTTACATCAGCTCATGGAAGCTTTTGTAACAGGTTCAAACACTGGTTTGGGAAAAAATAATTTCCCTAGCATTAAGTCTGAGTATGTTGACTCTAAATATTTATCTGCCCCCTGAAATTCTTGCATTTATGGCATTGCAAACTACACCAGTTATCTGTGCTCTGGTTGGACTGGCAGGGACAGCAGGGATGCTTTTAGGCAATGGTGTTTCTAGTGCAGAGGTAGTTTGTCAACAGTCTTGCACTATTTGATTTTTTCCATGGATATTTGCATTCATGTAAGAGCTGGCTATAAATGGGGCTCTCTGTCAGCAGGAAAGAAACAGTATTTTTCTCTGCTGATGGCAATTTGATCTGGTAGATCTGTTAGCTCGGTCCTTAGCCAAGAAATGCATTAAAGCACATAATTTCTAGTCAGAGATGAGGTCCTAGCTCAGCTTCTTTAAACCATTTTCTGATGTCATTCTGGAAAGTGACCTTTCATTAAAATGAAACAGAAAAATTAGCATTTGACAGATCAAAACGCAAACAGTCTTGAAATACCCTTCCCTGATGATTCTTACTGTTCATTTCACCCCCAAATCATTCTGACTTCTCTATTTTACAGGTGCGGTCTGGAATGATCTGCTGATAAGTGGGAAGGAGCAGTAGGATCAGGTGGGAACACCAAAAACCTTGCTCCTTTCCTGACTCTGCTAATGAGCAGCTCCAAGGGACTTCCCTGATCCTTGTCCAGGCTCATATCCTGGCAAACACTGGTCTCCTGGGTCATCCCTGACCCAGCCAGTGACAGTCCAGGAGGTCTGGGCATGGGTGGGGGGCTGTGAGCTGGCTGTGCTTTCAGTGCTGCCCAAAGAGCCGCTTCTGTTATTTTAAAATTCATGTCCTGATCTTTGATCAGGAGAGTGTGACCTTGGGGCTCCTTTCCTCAGAGTCAGTGCTTCCTGGCCAGCACTTTGGGCTGATGTGTTTAAAGAAACAAGGGGGTTTTACAGTGCCCAAGGCTGAGCAAAACACTTCAGCCCTCTGCCTGTCTCCCTCTCTGTGGTAAAACACAATGTGGGCTCTTCATACCAGGCTCAGAGAGACAAGCCAGCCTATTTCTTTGTCTCTCTGATGTGTGTGGCGCCAGGCTCTGCCAGACTATGAGACAAAGGCCAGCAGTCATTGAATTGGGAGAAAAAAGCAATGAAAGCAGTGGAATTTGGGTGGGAGGGTGAAGAAGCTGCTTCTGCCTCTGTAGCACTCACAGTGCCAGCACAGAGAGCAGCGTTGCAGGGAGCAGGTTCCCCAGCTCTGTCCATGGGCACTGAGTCCATGTCTGAAGCTACAAACCCAGCAGCCAGAGGTGAGCTTGTTCCTGGCTGAGTTCAGCTGAGTGCCAGACATAGAAAAACTTGTATAAAAATAATGCTGAGATAAAAGCAGTTTGGCAATTATTAAAAATTTTGGAGGCAGGCAGGTTGTATAAAGACAGAAAAATAAATCCAAGAGGTTTATCTTCCACCACGGCCTTTAGACAAACATTCCCATAAATTATCTAGAGATTTTGGCATCTGCAAGGCAGTGGAGATGCTTACATGAAGCTCATCTCAGCAGATTCATTACGACAATTCTTTTTGTCTTAAACCAAAAATAAGCCTAGTTTATAAAATAAATACCAAATTAATTCTTTAAATCACAAATAAAATTACTGCATCCTTTCCAAATAATCCCTGAGGTGATGCTGGACATGAGTAAAGAGCTATTTGCTAGCAGAGGAGCAATTTAAATTCAACTTGTAGTGTGCATTATATACTATAAGTATTAAGTATTATAAGTAGTAAGAGACAGGCATGTTTCTGTCCTGGGATGCTGATGGGTGCCACATTTGGGAGTAGCTCTTTCATCCCTGGGCCCCCTGAGGTCCCTAGGAGTGGCTGTGCCAGGCAGTGCACGGATGTGGACGGGGTTTTCCACCAGCTGAGCTTGATCTGGTGTCACTTCTGTGGCATGAGGGAAGCCAAGTCACTCTGAAAAGCAGCAGAAAGAAATCTTATCACTCCATTTAACAAAGTCCATGATAAATTCGCACCGTCACACATGCACAAATTCCCAGCCCTTTCAACACAGCAAGTACGGCATCTCTGGAATTTACACCCCTGTGTGCCTGATGGCGTTTGTAGCTCCTTTTCGGAGCCTTCCTGAGCCGAGGGGCTTTGAAGGGCTAAAAACATGAGCTGGGTACCCAGGTTTGTTATTGCCATTAACGATGGGAACCACTGGCTGGGCTCTGGGGGTGCAGGGAGGTGGGGACAGTCGCTCTGGGGGTTGGCGCTGTCCCCCAAAGGGACGGGAGGGCTGTCGGGGTGTGCAGTCTTGGGCAAGCAGCGCGGTCCGTGTGGCCGGGTCAGACGTTCAGGACACGGGATTCCGCCCCCTGCTCCCAGCCGGGAATGGCGGGCGGGGCGGGAGGAGCCGTGAGGGGACGGCCGGGGGCGGGGCTTCTGCCCGGCCTCGCGCCCCCATTGGCTGCCGCCCGTGAGGCGATGTGGGACCAGGTGGGTCCGGCGCGGCCCCGGCGGCGGGAGCGGGACCGGGAGCGGGAGCGGGACCGGGAGCGGGACCGGGAGCGGGACCGGGAGCGGCGATGGCAGCGGGCAGCGGGTGGGTCCCGGTGGTGGAATCGGGATTGGGCGCGACGGTGGCGTCGGGCAGCGCGGTCCCATAGGGTGGAGCGCGGTGGCGGCCGCGGCTCAGGGTGCCCGTGTCCCCCAGGGCGGTTCGGCGGCGGGGCGGCCCTCGGCGCTCGGCGGCGGCCACGGAGCTGCCGGCCTGGCGGCTGCGCTGCGAAGGTGGGCGGCAGCGCTGGCGCTACCTGGGGGATGGCGATGGCGATGGCGATGTCGGAGAGCCGCGGGCGCAGACGGCGCTGGAGCAGCACAGCCTCGGGCTGGACACGGTGCGAGGGGCCCGGGCGGGGCGGCGGGGCCGCTCCCGGGGCGCCCCGCTGAGGTGCCGCTGTCTCCCCGCAGGGCGCGGCGCTGCGGGCGCTGCCGGCGGCCGACTCGGCCCGGGAGGCGGCCCGCAAGGGGATGCGGTTCTACGCGGCCCTGCAGGCCGAGGATGGGCACTGGGCGGGCGACTACGGCGGGCCGCTGTTCCTGCTGCCAGGTAAGCCTGGGGCACCTGCCCGGGGGTGGGTGTGTGCAGTTCGGCTCTGTACAGTGCCGGCCCGTCTGGTCCTCCAGGTCTCCTCATCACCTGCCACACGGCCAAAATCCAGCTGCCGGAGGGGTTCCGGAAGGAGATGATACGTTACCTGCGCTCTGTGCAGCTCCCGGACGGAGGCTGGGGCTTGTGAGTAGCAAAGATGCTTCTTTGAGGGATGGCCTCTCCAAGGTCCAGCACTTGGAGCTGCTGTCAGATGTGCCCAGGCTCAGGGAGGGGGGCTCGGCACCTGTGATAGCTCTGGGTGGTTGGACTTGGTTTGTGCAGCACTTCAGGTACTCTGTTTGTCACAGAGATGGCCAGAGCATCAAGTCTGGCCATATCTCCTCTGTGTCACTACATGCCAAAGCATCATGTGCGACTGGGTAGTGCAGAACAATGTTTCTTCCTGGATTAGTTGGGTCCCCCTTTTTCACAGTAACCCCCAGCATTCCACTTCACCCCAACATAGACAGCCCTGCGCAGCGGATTATGTCTGGCTAATGCCAGTAGCTGGCTAATGGCCGTGGTGTCTCTGTATATGTGCCTGACAGGCATGTGGAAGACAAATCAACGGTGTTTGGCACAGCACTCAACTACGTAGCGCTGAGGATCTTGGGGCTCGGACCGGATGACCCTGACATCGTGCGGGCCCGTGTCAACCTGCACAGCAAAGGTCAGCCATGGGGCTGGGACACTGGTCAGAGAGGTCTGGCTGGACCTGAGGGCTACATGGAACTTGAAGGGCAGCATAGAACATGGGGGGCTGCCAGGTAGTGGAAGTACTGTTGCTCTTGCTTGCCCTTGGTGGCACCTGTGTTTTCAGTTAGTGATGGGAAGCTGTGTTATGTTTTTGTACCATCGCCTGCTTGCCCTGTTTCGGGACGTGCGTCCCAGCCTGAGTAGTGTGTTCCCAAATATGGGGAGAAGTGGGCCCTGTGATGGGGAAGAAAGAAGGGAGCTGGCTTGGCTGCGTTAACCCTGTAAGCTGATACTGTTCTCTGCAGGAGGTGCTGTGGGAATCCCTTCCTGGGGCAAGTTCTGGCTGGCTGTCTTGAACGTTTACAGCTGGGAGGGAATGAACACGCTTCTCCCAGAGATGTGGTATGTGCCCCCCTCGCTGTGGAGGGAGGAGATGTTGTCAGTCCTGCCGCCAGCCTCGACCCAGAACTGTCTCAGGCACTGGTGTTTGCTGGGATAACTCCAGCTATGGTCTGGAACTAGAGGTGGTCAGGCTGCTTGTCAGCTGGGAGCCAGCAGCAGGCCGGCCAGTGGGTGGATAGCACTGAACACTGCACCCGAGGGAGGTGCCAGAGCTCAGCCCAGTTAGCATTACCCACAGGATCCCTGATACATCTGTGTGCTCCCTGCCTGTCACCAGTATCTTCTGGCCAGCCAGAACTGGGCCTTTAGCAGAGGGGACAGCCACATGTAAGGCTACCAGCCCTAACCCTCACTTGTATCCTCTCTGATTATTCAGAGGGCTGCTGGGTGTCAGAGAGGGAAAGTGTGTGACATGACCTCTGGGGGAAATCAGGGGCTGCACAGGACCAAGGGCTGCTGGTGCTTTGTCATCAAATGCCAGTAACTGTCAGTCTGGGCCTCTGCCTTCAAAGTCCCACATGACTGAACTGGCTTCTCCCCTCCCTCTTCTCTGAGCTCAAGGTCCTCCTTGCCCTCTGTCATCTAGGCCAGGAGCAGTGTCTGCTGGCTCTGGTGTGGAGGGAGCACCCCTGCTGGGGGGATCTCAGCAGGGTCAGGCTGTGTTTATATCCCCTGGTGCAGGGGACAGGAAAAGGTGTGAATTCCACACACCATCTCTCCGTGTTGCCCTAGGCCCTCCTTGTTCCTCACAACCTTCTCTGTTGCAATCAGGCTGCTTCCCACGTGGTTCCCAGCCCACCCATCCCGGCTCTGGTGTCACTGCCGCCAGGTTTACCTTCCCATGAGCTACTGTTACGCCAAGCGTTTGTCAGCAGAAGAGGATGAGCTCATACGGAGCCTGCGGCAGGTAAGGAAGGAGCTGATCCTCCTGGACAAGGATACATGGCTCCGTGACTGCCTGCTGCGCTTGGCCATGTCCTTGTGCGCCGGCCTCTGGCTTGCGAAGCGGCATCTCTTATCCCTGCGTGGTCACTCTGTCAGACAGCAGAGTAACTGCTCCTGGGCGCTTGCTCCCAGCTTACCAGACTGATGCCCTGTGTTGTCTCGTGCCAGGAGCTGTACGTGCAGGACTATGCCAGCATAGACTGGCCAGCGCAGAGGAACAACGTGGCTGCCTGTGACGTGTACACCCCGCACAGCTGGCTGCTGGGCGCTGCCTATGGTGAGCGTGGGGGGCCCTGTCCCCTGCCCCTCTCTGCTGCTGCTCGTGCAGCTGAACCTGCCTTGCACCATGGGGGCTCTTCAGGGTCTGCTGGCAGCTACTGCTGTATGCTCTGGAGCTGGGATGGAGACATGGATTATGTGATCCATGGGCTTCTCCCTCCCTGAGAGCATCAGGGCCTTGTGCCCAGGTCCTCGGGCTGCTCTGGGGCAGAGCAGTTCTACGCTTTCCTCAACGGGTCGTGGTGTGAGCCAGGGTGCAGCCTGCCACAGCAAATGAATCTGGCTGCGCAGGGTGGGTTTTTGTTTTCATTGCATGTCCCTTTTTTCTCCTGTAGCCATCATGAACATGTATGAAGCCCACCACAGCACTCACCTGCGGCAGCGAGCCATCACAGAGCTCTACGACCACATCAAAGCTGATGATAGATTCACCAAGTGCATCAGCATCGGGCCAGTAGGACATATGCTGTTAATCCTTTAAATATCTCGCCCTTTGTTATTTAGGGACCAGCTTGTGCCCTTCCCCAGAGCTTTGCATTTGTGGCATGTAACCAATAATCACCAGATCTTGCTTAACTCCTGATCTTTAAGAGCGTAAGGCCAACAGGGCACAGGAGATGCAGAGAGCATGGGGATAGCTGGTGAGGGGTACCTGTCCTTGAGGTCCAGAGAAATGCTGTGAGGAGAAGCTCTGGAGTAATGTCATGGCACCTGCCCCACTAACTCAGCTATGCTGGGTGATGGAGCCATTGGGATCAAGGCCAGGACAACCTCTGGATGGCTTTGTGCTGGGTGGGAGGGATCTATGTCTCTGGGGCTGGAAGAAGCTCTGTCCAGAGCAATGACAGTGCTCCTTGTGGCAGATTTCCAAGACGATCAACATGCTAGTTCGCTGGTTTGTGGATGGGAAGAACTCCCCAGCTTTTCAGGAGCATGTTTCCAGGATCCCGGACTATCTCTGGTAAGGGCTGAGTGTGACCCTCCTGGCACGGCACAGGGCTCTGATCCCTGTGGATCACTGGGGCTGCCGACCTGCTTCCTGGTGCTCCCGCTGTGCCTATGCTGCATCACTGTGCTCTCTCCTCCCACAGGCTGGGCCTTGACGGCATGAAGATGCAGGTGAAGTGCTGTAGGAGTTCATCTATGGCTGAAGGGACCATGGCATGCTGGGGCAGCCCATGGAGTAATGGGATAGCGTGTTCATCCCGAGCCTGAGCTCCTGGCACCTCACCTCTGGTGCCTGATGGCCTTCTCTGTCTCACTGCCACTTCCACCAGCTGTGCCAGGAGGGAATAGTGCCTGTCCTGCTAGTTTGCCTCTCTGTGGCTGTGAGCTGAGGGGGCAGCTCTAGGCCTCCATTTCCTTCATTCCCACAGGCTCTGGGAGAAGGGAAGAAGAAAGCCAGGCCCCTGATCCTGCATGTGGTCCGAGCTCTGCTTCTCTCAGAGCCGTTGTGTCCTGCTGCTCCTTAGCGCTTGCCAGAGCTCCTGCCTTGGCTGTGCACAGAGCAGGCTGAAGCAGCTATCTTATTTCCTGTTCCATTGCTGTCCCTTTACCTGCTGCATCTGTCCCCTTGTGCCAGCATATCAGCTGTGATGCTGAATGGCATAAAACAGACACAGGGTGGAGGCAGCTAGTGGGTGTGATGTGGGAAGGATGTGCTGCCCCATAGACCCCACATCTGGGTCAGGGTGCTGGCTAGCACCTGCCTCTCACTATCAACATTCTCTCTTGCAGGGCACAAATGGATCCCAGCTCTGGGATACTGCCTTTGCCATCCAAGCCTTCTTGGAGGTAATGAACCCTGCAGTGCTACGTGCTGCCTTGGGAAAAGGTTTTCCTCTCACATGTCCCCGAATACCAGAGCTCCTGCTATGCACTCTGTTGGAGCTCTGCTGTGTCAGTTCTGTCCTGGCATCCTGTTACTGAGCTAGGCAAACATTCATCTGCTCAGAGCATGTTTGGTGGCCACAGCTCCTTGTTGAGTGCTGACTGTGTGCCTCTTTTTCTAGGCAGAAGCTCAGGAGATGCCTGAATTCACATCCTGCCTCCAGAACGCCCATGAGTTCCTCAGGTTCTCCCAGGTGAGCAGAGCCCTTTGGTGGGCTGGTTGTGCACACTTGGCTTCTGCTCAGAACCCTGTTTGATGCATCTGTTGCCTTCTGAAGAGCTCTTCTGAAGGGCTGGACTAGCAAAGTTCTAGGGACAACCTCCTGTTTTCTGCTCCCTGTTTTCAGGGAACCATCTTTGCAGCTTGGTGAGGACCTTGGCCAGGCCCAGGGATATTTGGGTTGGCTGCCTGAGCTTAGAGAGGCTACAAAACTTAAAGCTTAGGCTTCTTTGCCTTTTTTGCCTTGTTTTACCAACACATTTGAGGCACCGTTCTGGGAAACCCAGGCCCCTTGGCTAGTGACTGTATGAGCTCAGTTCTGCTGGCCAGGCCAGTGGCTCAAGGTGGGGGTCACTGTCACCAGCAGCTTGGTGCAGATGCAGTCAGTCTTGTTCACAGTGTTGCCAATGGGAGCATTCAAAGCAGATAGTTCCCTGGCAGGAAAGCTTCCAAAGGGGGGACTTTAGCAACACTTGCTTAAACCAGGCCAAAAGGTGATTTCTCTTGAGCACTCTTTGCTCCAGAGCTGACCTCTTCTCTGTCTGCTTCCCTCAGTGAAAGACAAGTGCTGTGCACTTGCACATTGTTCTGCACCTGCAATGGTTTCAGCCCGTGGTCCTGCAGCCAGGCACCTCCAGGCTGCCCTCACTTGTTTCTTGCCTCCTGCAGATCCCGGAGAACCCACCTGACTACCAGAAATACTATCGCCATATGAACAAGGTACGGTGACTGGGACTGGTCTCCGAAGGACTTGTGACCAGGGTGGGGATTTGGGCAGGGGGAACAGGAATGAGGGGCAACACTTGCCCCCCTACAAGGTCAGGGGAAGGTGCTGAGCTCACCTGATCCATTTCCAGGGTGGCTTCCCCTTCAGCACGCGGGACTGTGGCTGGATTGTGGCAGACTGCACAGCAGAGGGGCTGAAGGCGGTCATGCTGCTGCAGGAGAAGTGTCCCTTCATAGCTAATCTCGTGCCCCCCGAGCGCCTCTTTGATGCTGTGAATGTGGTAAGTGCTGCAAAAATTAGGGCCAAGGGAAATGCAGACAGGTAAACCTGTAAGAGAAGTCAAGGCCTGAGTGGTTGTTAGATCTGGTATTAGATCTGGTTAGATCTGAGGCCTGGTGTGGCAACACTCTCTTGGCTGTGATACAGAGCTGCCTATGTAACATAATGTGATGTGATGGCCTAGATTGGGCCTGCCTGTCCCTGTGGTTTGAGACCTTGGTTGTCTGCCAGCCCCATAGACCTGTGGGTCTGACTTTGTCCTCATACCTGGCTTGGGGGCCAGACTGGGGTGGTACTGCCTGTGAGCTAGTCCCAGCTCTTCTCTGCTTGTCTGGGCAGTTGCTGAGCATGAGGAACTCGGATGGAGGCTTTGCCACGTATGAAACCAAGCGAGGAGGCCACTTACTGGAGATGCTGAACCCCTCGGAGGTGTTTGGTAAGGGGAGCTGTGGGGGCTGGTTTTTCTGCCCACTGTGAAGGGACAAAGTGGCCTGGCCTCCCCATGCCCAGTGGGTGTCTAATGTAGGATCAGTGTGCTGTGGGTCTGAGGGAGAGGCTGGCAGCAGCTGACCCGCAGACTCCCCCACAAAGGGGCTGTGGCAGTGATACCTTTCACCTGCTGGCAGGTGACATCATGATCGACTACACGTACGTGGAGTGCACGTCGGCTGTCATGCAGGCACTGAGACACTTCCAGAGCGAGTTCCCTGAGCACCGAGCCCTGGAGATCAGGTGAAGCTCTCAGATGAGAGCTGGGCAGGGGAGAAGACAGGCTGCACTTCTCAAGCTGCCTGCCATGGCCTCTTGGCACAGCCCCTGCTGAGTCCTGTTAGGGGTCTTGCCTGGATCTCTACACTGGCATGGGGCAGCCCCGGCGGTGGCCAGCCTGGATACTGGTGACTTCTCCAAACTAGAGCGCCCTGCAAGAGTCTGGGGCCCTGCCTGTCCCAAGGAGCAAGGCATAGACTGTTTGGGATCAGGCTGGGAGAAACTGGTGGAGATCTGTCTGCCTCTTGACTTAGCAATTGTCTTGCTCTTGCAGCCAGTTGCAGACTGGGTCCCTGTTTGCCAATGCCATGAGGCAGAGAAGCCCCAGCTGGGGCACATACACCCACATGTTATACCTACATATATCCTGAACCATGTAGCTGCCTGTCTGCATGCTTTTGCCTCTTCTGCCTTCCAATAACGGGACCCATCAAAGCCTCAGAGGGGCTGATGGAGCTCCCAGTGAAGCAGACACTGAGTTTGAGCTGCTTGTGAAGTGGGTGGCTTCTCTTCTGTCCAGGGAGACTCTGCAGAAGGGCCTGGATTTCTGTCGCAAGAAGCAGCGAGCGGATGGGTCCTGGGAAGGGTAAGCTGTATTCCCAGTGCCCAGTTTTCTTCTGGCTGCCCCAGAGTGAGAGGGATCATGATGGCAGGCATTCCTGACTGGTAGGATCTGTGGGAGGAGAAGCAGGGGCTGATCCTCCTCTAGCTGCTGTGCTTTGCTCTCCATTACTCTCCCTGCAGCCCAGGTGGAGCAGGTACCTTGTTCATTGCACAAGACCCTGAGAAGCCTTGGGGGTCAGGGTGGTTCCAGTTCTGCTGACACCTGGGTTAGCTGGGAGCAGGAGTGGTGGGACTGGACATGGCTGTGCCATAGGGGAAGGCAGGCTGCAGCTCTGTGCCTGGCTCTCTGCTGTTCTGTGAACACAGCCATGTCACAGCCTCCCTCTTCCTGGGGCCTCGCACCCCTGACAGTGCTGCTCTCCCCTTCCTCCTAGGAGCTGGGGGGTTTGCTTCACCTACGGCACCTGGTTCGGTCTGGAGGCGTTTGCCTGCATGCAACACACATACCGTGATGGGTGAGAAGGGGCTGTCTGGGTGCCCTGCCCCTACCTGCCTCCTGGGTCAGGGCAGGACTCCATGGTGGGGCTAGGGGGATGCCTTTGCTGTGCATGGACTCTCCTGCCTCAGGGACTGCTTCTCCCAGGAGCAATATGGCCAGGGCACTCACTGTGGGCACAGCTTCTCTTTACAGCTGAGAACCGTGGGTGCCCAAACGTTCCCTGTCCCCAGTCCTGTCTTGACTCTGTGCCCCGTCCCTGCAGGGCTGCGTGCCGAGAGGTGGCCCAGGCCTGCCAGTTCCTCCTCTCCAAGCAGATGGCAGATGGCGGGTGGGGAGAGGATTTTGAGTCCTGCGAGCAGCGCACGTATGTTCAGAGTGCTGAATCACAGATCCACAACACCTGCTGGGCCCTGCTGGGGCTCATGGCTGTCAGGTAGGAGCAGCCTCACCTGGCCCCGAGTGCTCAGGGAGATGGGAGATGCAGGCTGGGTTGTGGGGCCTTGGGCTTGGCTGGTGTGGGCCAATGCAAAGCAAAGGTTTTGATCACAACTACAGGCCTCCAGCCTGGGAAAATGTTCTGGTGTCCTAGGATTGTGGGGGGCCCTTTCCAAAGCATTCAGCATGCCTGGGACAAGCTTGGGGCAGGCTGGAGGTGGTTGAGTTCCCCAAGTTCATGGATGGGGTGTTGCAGATAGTTGGGATGAGGGTGCTCACATCTCTCTTGTGCTTTACAGGTACCCTGACATCGACGTGCTGGAAAGAGGCATTAAAGTGTTGATTGATAAGCAGCTGCCCAATGGGGACTGGCCTCAGGTACATCTTTAATCTTCCCAAGGGGTTCCTGAACACCCTACAGTCCTGTGTCACTCATACCATTCTGCTCTCTGCTTCTGTCCTAGGAGAACATTGCCGGGGTGTTCAACAAGTCGTGTGCCATCAGTTACACTGCGTACCGCAACGTCTTCCCCATCTGGGCGCTGGGCCGGTTCTGCCGCCTGCACCCCGACAGCCCCCTGGCTGGGCAGCTGCGAGCTGGGCTGGGGCCCTGGGGAGGGGCAGGGCAGGCTGTGCAGGAAACCATGTCTGCCTGAACCTGGGCCACTGGGGCTGCCAGGGCCTTGGACTTGGCTTGGGTACCGGCGGCTGTGTGGGACCACGGGGGTGTGTGCTGCGTGGGACGTCTCAATGCTGACCTTAGCATGTGGACTGCTCCCTCTGCCAGGGAGGGGTGCTGCCCTGGTGCTGCAGAGCCTCTGCTTGCTGTTGAACCTCTTCTAAACATTCCCTTTTTAAGGTTTTTCCCAGGTATATTCTCCATCCTGGGATGGGGAGTGAAGTGCCTTTTCAAACCATTTGGAAGATCTTAGAAAGCTGCCAAGCTCTGTGTTGTGTTCCACGTCTGGACAGACTCTCATCCTGAGTAGAGCAAGGCTGCCTTTATCCTCCCAGGCTGGCTGGCTGTACTAAGAGTGTGGGATTTTGGGCCTCACCATAGTGCCCAGTATTATGATGGGGGACCCTGCACAATCCCTGCTGAGCTGGGCTCTGTACTGTGGGTGCCAGTGACAGCTTTTAAAGCACTGTCTGGAGCCTGTGCTGGGAGGGGAAGGGCACCTGTCCTCCCCCACATATGTGGAAAAAAGGAGTGCTTCACTCAATTTTCTTATGGTTTTGTCCCCCGGCTGATGGCATCTGGCTTCCCAGCACCTCAGAGGTGAAGTCACCACCATTGTTCCCACTTTGGAGAAGGGGCGGCTGAAGCAGGAAGCCCTGAGGTGGTTGGCATCAGGGCACAGCCTGGGCCCCAGGGCTCCAGCCTTCCCCCAGCACAGCAAGTGCCTCTGCTCAGGCCACGGTGCCATTGGACATTCATAGCCAGAGCTGGAAGACTGACAGGTTAATAAATTGCTAATGGTGAGGCAAGAGGATTTTAACTGTGTTGTTCTCCTTACTGTCTGCCCAGTGTGGGTCCCAAGCAGAGGGGAGCTGGCACAGCAGCCTCATGTCACCTGGCTTGGGTTCCCTGTCCCCAGAGATATGAGCATCATCTCCACCAACAAGCAAATCATGCTGGGAGTCTGTGCCTCTTCAGATGCTTTTGGCCCCAGAAAAATATAATGAAGGAAGCAGCTGGCTAAAGGGGAATGATCACTTCCTTCATCCTGCTCCTTACACTTGTGCAGATAAGCAGGATAGAAAAGCCTATTTAAATAAATTCAGCTCAGGCTGTGTCGACAGCCCTGGTTGGTTTTTCCAAATTCTGGACACCTTTACACCTGTCTGTGAGATTACTCTGCATTTAAATTTCTTCTTGCTGAAACTGAATTATTCAAGTGTCACACTGTGATGTGTCTTGAGAGGACATGACTGTTTGGATTTCACCTAGCTCTTGGCTTTAACCAAACTAGGGTTGCCTTGCAAATTTTTTAACCGTAAAATGCTTAATGGAATTAATTTTCTGTCCTCTCTTGGAATTCCAGGAACTCTTTTTTCAGTTCTTTCAGTTTCAGAGCAGGAAAATGTTCCCTCTGCTGTGCAGTGGGGGACTCGTGGTGAGTAGCATTACATCACATACTGCCAGACAAAGTAAACTGTAGATAGATGTTGGCAGCCAATTTTGTCCATACCTCAAAGCAATTCAGTAGGAATTGTCCCCAAGCCTTTCCCAACTTCTGTGAAATCCCAGCCATAAGCAGCTGTGAGCTGTGTTCATATAAAACAGTGAACCCTCTCTGTGCTTCTCACCTAACAAAAGGAACACACAGGAAAACGTGTGTCTTAATAGTGTTAAAATCTGCTCCAAGCTGCAACTTTGGACTGAGCACATGCAGGAGAGATCAAACAGATACCTGATATATTCAGTATAATTCTCATTTCATGGAAACTGTTTCCTCCAGGAATACTCTGACACTCCTCCCAGGGATCTCCTAGAGTGTTTTGATCTCTGATTTCAGGACCTGAGATCCCAGGTGTCAGCCCCACACCACTCCCAGGATGCTACCTGAGGTGATTTTTCTCCTTTGGAAAAAATCCCAGCTCCAGAATCTATGAAAGGCTCACCCAAGGCATCTCGTGGAGTCTTTTGATCTATGGTTTTGGGACCTGTGATCCTGGGTGGCAACCCCAGCCTCCTCCAAGAAAGTTTCCAGAGATTATTTTTCTGGTTTGGGGAAATCTGTTTCCGTTCCTCAGAAATTGTAGCTCATGACACAAAAAGAGAGACACAAATGCAGACCAGTGTTTTCATGCTATAAAAAGAGCCATTCCATGACTCTCAGACTCCATGACTTTATGGCTGGGGTTGGAAGGTTTGTCTGCTAAAGCATCCTGCTCATTGGCTCGTTCTGTGCATCCTGGAGAGATCCAGGTAGGCCTTTTTGGCAGCTGGGCATTAGCAGAGCTTAAACTGGGGGCAAATTCAGCTGAGATACCCTGGGAGGTGCTGTATGCTCCTCTCTGCTGCCACGGGAGGGTTTTTCTGGGTTGAGGGTGATCCTGGGGGTGTGAGGGGGTGCCACGTGTACACAGGCCAGCCAGTCCTGTCCCCCTGGGTCCCTGCAGTGCCCCCCAGCAATCCTGCCTCCCCGTGTGGATGCTGGCCAAGGCTGGGCTGCAAGTGAGGCAGCTGGTTGTAAGCTTGCCTGGAGCTCCATGTCAAGCCCAGTGGTGTTCCTTCAGGACATAGCAGTGCTGAGGGGTCTCCTCTAAGCCTCTTGTGGCGCAAGTTGCTTTCTTGTGGAATGTTCTCTGTTACTGGAGAGTAATGAGGGAGCTGGAGAAAGAGCTCGGTAGCTGCTTTAGATCACTGACCAGCAGTCCTGGTTAAGTGGAGAGACTTGCCAGTTGCTTGGAAATGAGCAAATGGAAGGCCCTCGTGCAAGAAGGGTGGGAAGGATGATGTGGGAAACTATGGGCCTGGCAGCCTGCCCTCAGTACCAGGGAAGGTGGTGGAGCAGATGATCCTGAGTGCCGTCCCCAGGCACTTGCAGGACAACCAGGGCATCTCCTGGAGGGTGGGAAGGCTCTGCAGAGGGATCAGCCAGAGATGCTGGGGCGGGGTGGGTGTTGAGGGGTTCTGTGGGAATGTTTGGGAGGATTTGGTGTTGGTGGGAATGTTGGGGAGGGAGCTGTGTGGAAGGTGAGAGGCCTGGACTGAAACTGGATCCAGTTTGAAGGCAGCCTCTGTGGTTTTGCAGAGCTTTGGTTATGGAGAGCAGAAGGAATATCTAGGACTCTTCTTTTTCTGTCAGTGGTCCTGGTTGTCATCCAGGGCAGAAGAGGGGAGAGCTGTACTTTACTGGCCACTTATCTACCTGTACTGGAGGGAGGATTAGTGTTTTTTGCAATATCCCTCTTTGTGTGAGGTGCTTTTGTAACACTGAGTGAACTTCCATTCCTTGACAGCTTTTATACCTTAATGAAATTCTTATGTTATTAGCTCTTAACAGAAAAGTGTTTGAAAACCAAACAATATCCAATTTATTTATTTATTTTTGCCTCAGTTTAGTGTTTATTTTTTGCAATTGACTCTTAATGGACCCTGTTAAGGCAAAGGAGTTGCTGGTTTGGGGTGGGAAGCAAACTTGCAAATCTTTTACCTTTCCAGGTTGTGCCAATGAACTTGGGAAGTTTGCAGCTTGATTTTACACTTCTTGCTCTGAGCAGTGGAAAATAATGTGGATTCCTGGTTTCCTGAATTTAGGATTATTAAAGGCCAGATTCTTCTTTGCCTTCACAGAAAAGATGTTTTTGTGCTGCAGGTCATCACTTGCATGCAAAAATCATTCCTGGAGGAAGCAACAGCTTCTGCTTTCTGACAGCTGCCAAGCACAGCCACCAATTGCTCCAGCTGCCACTCCCAACAGCCCCCTGCAAGAGCACAGACATCAGTGCTCGTTGGCTTTGGCCGCCCTGTGGCAGAGAAGTGCCCCGGGGACACAGCTGTGTCCGGCAGGAGACGGGCACCAGCCCTGCCAGGACTGGGGGCGGTGACAGGTCTCCTTGGGCGAGGACTTGCCAGAGCTGCTGATTTTGGTGCAGCCCCGGGCAACGGGATGGGAGCAGCATTGGTGCCCTTGCCCCCACGTTCCTTCTGTGTGTCACAGCCCCGTGTTCGGGAGGGCCACCAGCCGGCACTTCTCCCAAGGAGCCCGTGCCAGCTTGTGTGGAGGCCCCGTGGCCTTCCCGCTGCGGCTGCGTCGGCAGCCGAGGGG